CCCACAGTCGGTTTATTCACACCAACCTGCTGTCTATTGTAGATTCACTCTTCCCAGCCTGGTGCAGGTCTACAATTTTCTTCCTGGTGTCCTTCGACAGCTCTTTGGTCTTGGCCATGCTTGAGTTTGGAGTCTGACTGTTTGAGGCTGTGGACAGGTGTCTTTTATACAGATAACAAGGTCAAACGGGTCCATTAATACAGGTAATGAGTGGAGGACACAAGAGCTTCTTAAAGAATAAGTTAAAGGTCTGTGAGAGCCAGAAATCGTGTTTGTGATTGACCAAATACTTATTTTCAAATTATTTACAAATAAATTATTTAAAATCTTACTTTGTGATTTCTTGGATTTTTTTCTCTCCTCATTTTGTCTCATAGTTTAAGTGTATCTGTGATGAAAATTACAGACCTCTCTCATCTTTCTAAGTAGGAGAACTTGCACAATTCATGACTGACTAAATACTTTTTTGTCCCACTGGTATACCTTTAATTTAATTATTTGCAGGGACATCCATTGCTGCAAAGATTAGCATTTTCCTAATTACACTGCCTGGCCAAAAAAAAAGTCACCACCTGGATTTAACTAAGTAAATAGGTACAAGCCTCCTATTGGATAATTACTGCACGGGTGACTATCTTTCAGCTGCAACAGGTTAGTTAACCTCAACTGGTGCAATGAGTTGCTTCTCATTTCTTAAACAACCATGTCAAAGACACATTGTGTTGTTGTGGAAAAGATGTCAGTCTGTTTGAGAAGGGTCAAATCACTGGCATCAAGCAGAAAAAACATCTAAGGATATTTCAGAAACTACTAAAATTGGGTTAAGAACTGTCCAACGCATTATTAAAAACTGGAAGTATAGTGGGGACCCATTGTCTCTGAGGAAGAAATGTGACCGGAAAAAAATCCTGAATGATCGTGATCGGCGATCATTTAAACATTTGATGAAATTAAATGGAAGAGAAACAACAGTAGCACTAAGGACTATGTTTAATAGTGAAAGTAAGAACATTTCCACACGCACAATGTGAAGAGAATTCAAGGGATTGGAACTGAACAGCTGTGTAGTCTTAAGAAAACCACTAATCAGTGAGGCTAACTGGGAAAAATGCTTCAATTTGCTAGGGAGCATAAAGATTGGACTCTGGAGCAATGGAAGAAGGTCATGTGGTCTGATGAGTCCAGATTGACCCTGTTCCAGAGTGATGAGTGCATCAGGGTAAGGAGAGAGGCAGGTGAAGTGATGCACCCATCATGCCTAGTGTCTAGTCATCAATGCAAGATCTTGGTGAAAAATTAATGCAACACTGGGTGGAAATAGATCTTGTGACATTAGAAGCTTATCAAAACAAAGTCACAGTGAATGCATGATGTAATCAAAGCTAAAGGCGGTCCAATGAAATAGTGTGATCCTCTTTTTTTGGGCCAAGCAGTGTATTTTGCCACTCTCGCAATATGTTACACATCTCCACCTCCAGATGCAGGAAGAGGGCCACCTGCATCATGAAGGACCCCACTCACCCAGCGCACTTTTTGCCCCGTTCCCCTCACGCAGAACGTTACGGAGCATTAAGTGTAGAACCACTAGACTAAGGAACGGCTTCTACCCTGAAGCTGTTGACTCATAAATCCCTAATCAGAAAAATCCATCATCTTTACCCGCTTGAATTCCTTTTTGGGTCGTGGGGGTCACTGGTGCCCATATCCAGCCATCACTGTGCGAGAGGCGGGGACACCCTGGACAGGTCTCCAGTCCATCACAGGGACACATACTAAAGACAAACAAGACCATTCACCCTCACTCACACCTAGGAACAATTTAGTTATCAATCTAACATTTTGGTCTGCATGGAAAAAAAAAATTCCTGTAATGCCACTTTAATTGGTGATATGCGACTTATCTGTGCTGCTGATTATCTCAAGCTGCTGTATTCATTCATACCCATCTGCTCACCACAGACTCATGTTCGGGCTGCTGTTGATATGGCGTATTGTTTTACATTATTAGTGTTTAGTGTATCTTAGATCCTTGTATACCGTTTCTTTTTATACTTCATATTTTTGTCATTTTGGGTGTAAATGGGATCTTCAGTAGTTTTGTTCCACCTCATGTACCACATATGATGTGAATGACAGTGAACCCGATTTGAACTTGATGTAATATTTAAAACTAGACTTGATGAGACAGCAGGCGTCATTTTTTCCCCTCTATGTAAAAACTTGGTAACACAAAGATGACAACAAGAATGTTTGTTCATGGAACTTTTATAACAACAGGTATTGTAAGAAAACAAAATAAAGCATCATAAAACCACAAAAAAAAAAAAAAAAAGATTTCTTACAATCGATTATGATTGTCTGCCCTTAATACTGTAGCTTAATGTTTTCAACTCAACATCTCCGTCACACTGGTTGTCCTCTGATAAGATACTGCTTCAGCAACACAGGATAAAAAAAATCCACACTGACGAAAGTCAAATTGCAAAAAGTTACTTCATAAAAATAAAAGGCAACATGGAAACAAACGACAGAGTGAAGCAGTTTTAGTGGAATCATAGTTTCTTCAAGTAATTAAAAAATTAAATGTAGTGTGCTGGAATGGACTCAACAAGGACATGGACATTTGCTCTGCAGGTATAATCTAAACCACCACGTCTGCAACGCGAGGAGCAGGAACGTGCCTCCACAGCTCCCTCCTGCTGTCTGGGCTCTCCTCAGCAGGAGGGAGCTCCCACATCACTGACGTCTTTCTGCTGAAGGAGGCTTCAAACTGTGTGGCTCTCTGTCAGGATCAATAAAACACGGTGAGATTTAACCGATTATCAACAATGAAAGAGAGGCCGCTTCTTTCCACCTCTCTCCATCTTCCTCAAGGAGCAGTTTTCGTTCCGTGGTCTTGTGCTCACTTTAAATCTCCGACGCTGTAAGGCAGCTGTACCCTCTGACTAACAGGCTCAGGACAAACACTGATCAAAGATCTGGATGAGGGGAGGTCGATCTCGCCCACCAGGCACAAACAAGGCGAGGATTGTTTTAGAAAACATGTTCACGCTGCGACACAGGCCCCAGTGAAGGAGAGCCACGTTCAAAATGTCACATTTTCAGTAGCAGAAGCGTCAACTAGACTTTTAAGGCAAGAATTTTGTGTGGTGTACAAAAAGCTTATATCAGTGCAGCTACTTACTGGGTGTGCAATTAATTCATAGACACTTAAGACCAATAAAGCCGGTACTTCACAGAAAGTATGCAAATAAATAGAAAAAATAAACTTGGCGTTGAGGCACAATAAACACGTGCAGCAGTTAGACAGCATGACAGTAATGTTGCAGACCCATTGAACGCTCCTCTGTGCCACACGGCATCTCTAATAAAGATTAACCACACTAGGAGCAACAGGACTCGTCTAACCCAGAGGACACGGAGTGAAAAACCACTGGCAGATTGGATAACTCGCTCCCCGGTTTTGTTGTTTACAAGAAAGGTTTGCAGATGCTGGACGTTCGGGAAATTAAGCATATTTTCTTAAGCAGCTGAAATCTTGAAGGTAGCATCTCACTGGGCAGCCACTCGCTGGAGAAGCACAGTCATGAGGGAGTCTCAAAATGTTCCCCGGGTTCTCAGAAGGCTCGCTGCCTTGATCCTTGAATTCTGTCCAGAAACGTTGCTGCAGGCGTCTCTAACCCGTATGAAGCATTAACATGACGCCTGCAGCAGAGCCCTCTGACCAGAAACATGTCCAGGTCTTATTAAACAACTGGTCTACATCTGCTGACCTCGGTCTCCAGCTAATTAAATCATACACGTGGGAGCAGCTGCCAAGGTGAGAGCAATAAAACGATGTCCGTGCCAAACACAAAGTCCAGCCAACTTATAAAAACAGGCTCAGAACAGGTCACACTGGTCCCTTGGTTGCACTCAGAATTCAAAATCTGCTCATTTTCTCACAACACTGAGTCCAGTTTGAGTTGCCAAGTAGTCTCCAACAGTTGCTGCCCAGCGAGATCCCACCTTTAGCTTTAAAACCACTCAACACTTCCATATCTGCAGAACTAAAACTCATGAATACATAACGCGAACTGAACTCCAACTTAAGTCTTCAACAGAACGGTGTGTTCTCCATCTTTAGAGATCTGAACGTTTCTCTGCTTTCAGCGGTGATGCTAAATTCATCTGCAGCTCCTTCCAGCTTCACATTGAACACGCAGGTCGTGCTGAAAGTCCTGTCCAAATCTTGGCAACAAAAACATTAAACGCAAACGGTTCCTGTACTTCCAACATGGAGGACCTAAAAATGTGTCTGAGCCGTTGTCTCTTCGTGACACTAGTGCACGACGTCCTGAACAGAACCGTGGGCGAGACGCATCTTTACACTCCGCTCCTTCACATCTGGGTAATGAAGTGGTGCTGCACGCTCTATGTGCCAGATGAAAGACAAGCAGGCATTAAATGAAGTCCTTCAGAGCTTCACACAGTAACGGAGTAGAACTGAAAGAATCCCTACAGAGTGTGTTGTGGTGCTCAACAGACTCCAGCACACACACAACTCAGCTTTGTGCTCAAAGCATCAGTTTTCTTCCTGGCTGCAATAAAAACAAACGTCTCGGAAGCTTATTTGGCAACTTGTTGGTTCCTCAGCTTCTCAAACTGTGGTCATGGAGCTCTTTTTTTTCCTGCATGAGAACTCACGCAGGCACTTTATCCTCTGAAAGACAGGCATCTGGATCATCCTGTAACATCTGGAAGACTTGGTGCAAAAAGGACATATCTTTCTGAAATCTTTTAGAGTGATGGAGCACCTCCAACACTATTCACGTTTGGTTTGTCATTATATATATATATATATATATATATATATATATATATATATATATATATATATATATATATATATAAACAGGAACATTTGTGTTCCAGAACAACACAGTTCGGGTCAGACTGGACTGTGTGTCCTCCACACACACAAACATCCTGCAAACTAAAGGAACTGTGCAGAAATGTGGGACATAAGCCAGAACGAAGGCACTCAGACTTGGTTTGTTACGCAGCGTCTTCAGACCGAGGACAAACCAGACCCACGGCCTCTTCCTGAACGTCGGTTCCTACTGGTGGACTGGAGTCCCTTCAAAGGTCTTACTGGTTTAACAGTGAACTGAGGAGCCTCGTGGTGAGAGCTTCAGATGTGTTGGCTAAAATGTGTTGCTGTGAAGATGGTGGTGGTTGTGGTGGTGGTGGGGGGGTGGGGTGGGGGGGGTCTGTGAGGTATAACAGTTGATCGTGGAGGGAGAACAGTTTGAAGTGGCTCTGACTGTGCTGCAGGTGCATTGTGGGTGAAAGGGTGAAGTCAGAAGTCAAGTCTCAAAGTATTTGTAGATGGCTGTGACGTAGGTCATGACACTCTGCCAGTCCGGCCTCTCGGTGTGGACCATCTCATTAATGTCCTGAAACAAGACACAACAAGAAGAGACGCTGTAAACTTGTCTCACAGGGAACGTCTTGGATCAGAACGTCGCAGCAACAGGAGGTTTCTGTGAGCCGACGGTGGTCCTGACTGAAACTGGGTGGGCCGCCTCATTTAACTCATCACAACAGAAATAAATGAGAAGCGGAACAACGATTGTTTGTTGTCCCTGCTGTCTCCAACAAACCATTCAGCTCCAGACCCACAGAACTGCAGCAGAAACATCACTGCTAGAATTTAATGTTTACAAGGTTTATTTTAAAACAATTACGAAAAGCTTGAATTTATTTGCAGTGATGAAAAGATCTTGTACCTTGATTTAAACAAACTAAAGCATTTTAAACTCAAACATTCTTGATTAAATAACGTCTGAACAACTTGAAAGTTGTAACTCGTCACAAACATTAACATTGTTTCTTGTTACATTTTGCCGTGATACTTTCAGAAATTACGTTTATGATTGTGCTCCATCATATTCAGTGCTTAGAATAAATATTCATTTATTTTATTAACATTTTTCTGAACAAAGGTTAGGCTCGTTTCTGCATCGCCATGGGTTCACTTTCCTCATGAACACTAAATGCTACGGGGTTAGAAATCAAGATATTTGGTTTAAAGGTGCTTTATAATTAGGTTGCTCAAAAAATTCCTTTGAGAAGATCGAGCGTGCTGCATCTATTACTACTATTTAAAAATAGTGATTACTAATGACAAAGACAAGCTGTGGTGTATGAAATGTAAAAGCAGAAATAAACTGCATACATATAAAACACTAGAAGAGACACAAGAGGTTGAAATTCATTTGTATTTTGAATTTTAGGGTCCAATCAGCTAATAAAACAGGAGTACCACGTACAGAATATTATATGATCATCTGGACGGAGACCACACCATAATACCTCCACCTTTCAAAGGGTGTATTAAAGAAATGGAGCTCAGGTAACTGTTTTTGCCTCCTGCTCTAAAAGATGAACAATCTTGTAATTAGCGCTGCCGGTGAGTGTGTCCACTTCTTTGTCATCTAATCAATTTTAGCAAACACAAAAAGTCCACAGCTCAGTCCAGTAACAGATGCTAAGCTACATTTGGTGTAGCTGTAGTTGAAACTGATCCCCAACACATCATTTGATTACTACATGAACCCTCGAGATCTTTACAGGAAAGTAGCAGGAAATGTGAATTATATTATCTTCTTTAATTTCTAAAGAACTCACCAATGTACATTTGATGCCGACACTCTCTGCAGCCTGGAACGCCAAGGTGAAGTTTCTCCTCTGAGGGTAAAAGAAGAGATTTAAAGTGACACTTTATGAGACATGTAAAACTCAAAGTAAAGCGTGTGGGTTTGCTCTGAACTCCACTTGCCTTGTCCTGGCCGGTGAGCTCCTGGTAGGGGATGTGTGCAGGCAGATAGGTGTGCAGCAGAGCACAGAAGGCCAGGCCATCGTTCCAGCTGCTGCTGAAGTTGGTGATGTCAATGTTCTGAAACAAGCAGCAATTTAAACTTTCATGAAGCAAAACATTTACAGCTAAATGCACAAATCAGTGGAAAACCAACTCCACAGCCTGATCAGAAATAAAAGCGCACAGTAATTTATTTTTACTTTATCATTTGACTTTAAAATGAAAGAGCTGATGTTTCATGCAACTCCATGTTCTATGTAATAATTCAGAGCTGAGTGTTTGTTAAATGTTGCAAACTTCCTAAAGACATAAATGAAAAAATGACTTGGCAAAAATATTCTCCACACACCTGTTAAACTTTATTAAAATCAGTCAAACAAGTAGTGTGATACAAATGTGTCATTCAGGTCAATCAAGTTAAAGTTCAGACAGATGTTTAAAATGAGTTAATGTAAAATGGTAAATGAACTGTACTTGTATATCACCTTTGTATCTTATCAAGATACTTGAAGCTCTTTACTACACAATCTGTGCCTCATTTACCTGTTCATACAGCACTCTACTAGATGTTTGCAAAGACTAATCAGAGCTTTAGATCACATTCATACACTGATGGGACACACATCGGAAGCAATTTCAAGTATTTATTTGTTTATTATTTTACATAATTTAGGCTTCCAGCTCATGAAACACATGAAAACAGGATTTGAAAAAATGAGAATATTGTGAAGAAATCAGTCCACACTTCTCAGTTATGCAGGAAAAAAGAAATAAATGAGGATCACAACAAATCAAAATATGGTACTTTAAAACAATATGTTAATCTTCAATACTTGGTTGGAAATCCCTTTGCCTTAATCATTGCCTCGATGTGACGTGGCATTGAGGGAATCAGTCTGTGACATTGCCTGGGAGTTATGGAAGCCCAGATCTCCTTGATTCTTGCTGTCAGCTCTTCTTTGTTGTTGGGTCTGGTTCCCTCATGTTCCTCGAGAATACTCCATAGATCCTCAGTGGGGTTTAGGTCCGGTGAGTTGGCTGGCCAGTCAAGCACTGTGGCATCAAAGCAGGTTTTGGTGCTTCTGTCGGCATGGGCAGGGGCCAGGTCCTGCTGGAAGATGAAATCTGCATCTCCATACAGATCCTCATCAGAAGGAATCATGAAGTCCTCTAAAACATTCTGGTAGACTGTTGCAGTGACCTTGGATTTAAGAAAGCAGAGTTTACCAACACCTGCACCGGACATTGCACCTCAAATCATGACTGACTGTGGATATTTCACACTGGACCTCAACCAGTATGATCTCTGTTCCTCACCCTTCTTCCTCCAAACCCTTGGACCTTGATTTCCAAATTAAAGCCACACTTTACTTTCATTGAAAAGAGGACAGAGGAACCCGACAGTTGTAGTCCATCTCCCAGATGTGTCTGAATGTGGTGGTTTCTGAAGCTGTGACTCCGACTCATTCCACTCTTTCTGGATCTCTGCCAGATTCTGGAATCTTCTCTGTTTGATAATCTGCTGAAGCCCACGGTCATCTCTTTTGTTGGTGCATCTTCTCCTGCCACATTTTGTCCTTCCACTAGACTTTCCATTGATATGTTTGGACACAGCACTCTGTGAACAGCCAGCCTCCTTAGCTATGAACTTTTGTGCCTTACCCATCCTATGGAGGGAATCAATGATGGTCTTCTGACCAGTTGTTGTGTCTGCAGTCTTCCCCATATTGAACAGAACTGAAGGAATTTAATGACACCTTGGGAAACCTGTGCAGGTGCTTTGAGTTTAGTAGATGATTAGTGTCACACTCAGTTTAAAACATTCATGTCCTGCAACATTTGGCCTGATTTCTCCACAATATTCTAATTTTTAAAAATCCTGTTTTCATGGGTTTCATGAGCTGGAAGACAAAATTATGTAAAAATAAACAAATTAATACTTGAAATGTTTAAATTGTGGGCCCTGAATCTATCATCTATTAAAGATTAACTTTTTGAATGGAATTATGGAAGTTAAACAACTTTTTCATGATATTCTAATTATATATATATATATATATATATATATATATATATATATATATATAT